AAAACGCGTGAAAACGTAGACAAGGTAAGCACTTCGTAATGTGATGTTTGCGAAAAGTGTGTCTGTGCAAATAAATAATAGGTTCCTTAGCAATCAATTGACGTTGTCGTGCAACTCTAAAGAAACAAGCGCAACTACGTCATTTTGCTGTGCTGCGTTTATTTGTAGTAGTTCTTCTTTTAATTTCTTGTCACCTACGTTTTATTTCACTCCATTGATTTACACTTTTCCTTTAATTTTCACATGACTGCAGTTCATAGTTTTTTGCCCTCCCTCCTTTTATAGCGTATATACATACGTACATATTTGCAAAATTTCCTTTGACCCCCTTTTTTATGCGCAAAAACAATATTGCAAAATTATTAAATAAAAAAAAGTATATACATACATGTAAATCGTTTGCCAATCATTGTGCGTTCTCGCAATTGCCAATTGTATTTATATGCGCCCTTTTGTTGTTGTTGTTTTTATGTTGTACTATTTCATTAATTGTTATTTATTCATTAATTTTTAATTTGCATTTGTTTGTTGTAGTGCAAATTACATTCACACAAAGACACAATACGCGATAGCACATGCGCGGCGCATTTTGTACTAAGCTATGTGTAAACGTAGGCTTAAAATAACACAAAAATAATAAATATGAAAGCTACGTACGTGCATATGTATTTGTAGTCACCGGCATAGCCATAATAAATAACCATTTGTTGCTCTCATTTTCTTTGTCGTTGTCCTACAACTCGATTGCACCGACGATTCAGAACACCATACAAATTAGTTTAAGATTAGTTTTCACTTTTTATACTCAAAAAAAAAAACATTTCTCATTTACACTCATAACAGCTTTGCCATTTGAGGCTAGAAATTTAAGAATTAGACTAGATTATACATTGCAATTAAACGAAAAATTGGTAGCTTACTACGCCGCGGCAGTTGTTTCGCGAAATGAGTTTTTTTTATTTATGTTTGCAGGACTCTCGAATAAACCATAGTAAACTCGTCTTCACACACACATGTTCTTAAAATCCTACATATAACGTTTGCAGTTTGGGTGACCGAAATCTGAAAAGGAAAATTTTACTGATTTCATATCTCAAAGTTTTAGATTTTCGTATTGCATAGTATGTATTATCAAGAGATTTTAAAACTAGCCGAAATTACTAAATATGTTTGCTGGGGTCCTAGCTATGCCTGTAGCCATAGTAGATAATCGTTTGAAATTAAAAATGTTTTTCCAGATAATTAGAGATTCGATGCATCGGTGATAGTAATATCGATCTGCGTCAGCATAAGTCTTGGCAACAAAAAAACATCTTAAGAGCCGCTCAAAGAGGATGATCACTTCCCAGCTTGTCAAGGAGCATGGTTGCGGATAATATTGTAAACCAGACGATTGTTGAATTGTAGGCAGCACGAAGTCTCGATTGACTTGGGAGCATAATTTCAAACAGTTTCTATGAGAATAGAAATGTTCTGTGGTCTCCGCCGACCTTAAACTCTTAGTTAATTCATGATTAAACTCAGAATTTGGCTCGTTCATCCACTTTTCCAGCGAAAAAACACGGTTACCCGCCGGGGTCCCACAGGACAGAGTGTAAGACGTTGCAGATCTGAACAGTGTGGTAAATACGCCGCGAATTGATGGACAAAATATATACTTTGCTCCGTAAGACGTTTGTGCTTGGTGTCTTTCGAACGTCTCTTCGCCATATTCATAAACTTGTGCCCGTGTATGCCGTAATCGAAGGTTAACCAGCCTTGCACCGCCTTAAAATATGCAAAGCTTGAGCTGCCTCGGGAGACCTGCGTCACTCTATCATACTTACTATTTTTTAGATTTTAAACCAAAAATATATTTTTTGACTTTAAACCAAAAAAATTCCCTGTAATTTCAGCAGAAATAAGTAATTTTTGATTTTTTTACGACTATACAAAATTTAAATGTTGCGAAACTTTAGAAATTTTATTGAGACTTTAAAATTGTCTCGGCATAGTTCTGAACATTTTGTCGCGAACTTTCCCGAAAGATTTTTGAATTTCTTGAAATTTTTCGCGTTTTTTTTTGTGATTTTTAGGTCATCGTATCTTTCAAGGTTTTAGTACCAACGTTGTTTTGAAATGTCGAGATTCTTTCTTCGGATTGTTCAGGAATTTTTGAGATCGTACAAAATTTTTTGCCGGGACAGTTCAGAATTTTTCCGGGATTCTTCGTGTTTTATAAATCGGAAATTTTTCAGGATTTTTGATAATATTTGGGGTTTTTCGAAAATTGTCATTCGAAACAGTAAATTAACTTGGCTTTTTATGAACGTCTAGAAAGTATAAAGAAATTCCATCCAAGAAAATTTAAAATTTCACTCCCTAAAATGGGTCGCTTTTTATAAGAAAATAGTTAAGTAGAGCTATTCATAATAGACTCAGAACAAAGACTTGTCCAGCTTGTAGGGAAACCACTTACAATACAAACCTTATCTTCAGCTGTCTACGCAAAATTGACTCAGGCAATATAACTTTGGCCTGAACCGCATTGAAACCTCGCGCTTCCTAGTCCTACCATTATTCCAGCTAGACAACAACGATGATAGCTTAATCTAAATCCCTGGAGATATATTGGGCGATATCGTTAAGACACGGACTTCGATAAACTTAAGTATGCGGTTCTAACGTGGAAGAGCCATCAGATGCTACATATCGAGGCCTGGGATCAACAGTTCACCTATACTCCGATCGGTAGACCCATTCTTTTTCATTGGTATTTTGCGTGGTCATCAAATATTTTCTCAATTTCTTAAGGTGATATGAAGAATGAACATCCAACATTTACAGCTTAGCCTGCATAAGCTTCCCTGTGGCATAAGAGGGTTTGGTTGAAAATGTCACACATACATACATAAGTGGCCGTCAAATAGTATACTCTGTTGAGAGTAAAAGTAGTACACATATATATAGTTTTGGTTCAATGATCAACGCTGTTTAGGGGAGTATCAAGAGAAATTATTACAGATGTGCCTTGCAGGTGAAGAGCAAATGAGTTGGCTAGAACAACAACAAAGTTAAATATAATATTAGTTAATTAAAAAACTATAGAAACAAAGTATTATTTCAAAACACCACAAAAACGGTTGAATTAATTTCTCCCACCATCTTAATTTTCAACAACAGCACAACCAATTGGCAAAATCTTTTTTTTGTTTTGGGTTTTTTTTCAAGTATTCTTACATTTATTTTGCAGTAGCCTTGCATAGTTTATATTTTTTATTTAGAAATTTTCAATTTTGTTTGCCGTAATTTATCGCTTACTGTAAGAATAAACGAACAAAAATAAGAAACAAAAACAATACGCATTACGAATTGTGTGCTTCTCTCTATAAACGTTGTTTTCTTCTCTTTTCCTCTCTGCTCTCTTTTCTTCGTCTCATGCAGGTATTTTTTGATTTGATGCGCGAAATAAGATCCCGCAAAACCGAAGATTCAAAAGCGACTAGTGGGCGTGCTAAAGACAGATGCAAGAAGCGGAGACTTAAGTGTACACTACTTTAGGCGTATTTCTAGGTGCATAAGCCAGACTTTAAGCCAATAATAAAAAAAAATTAAACAAACAAAAAAAAAAAAAACAGAAAAATGCGAAAACAAAAACAAATACACTCATAAACAAATACAATGGTAAAGAAGCGAACAAAGCAAAATAAAAGCCCCTAACTCGTACTTTCCCCATCCACAAAGACATCACATCGAATTGATAACAATACCTAGCTGATATACATATGAAATGTGTAACTACAGAAATCCTAACCGAAATATGTACTGAGAAAATCGTTTGTAGTATGTACCACCTCTTCTTCCTGTTTTTTTTTTTCTTTTGTAATATCAAATGAAATTCGTTGAAACCTTTTGAAGTTTATGCTGGTTGCTTGGACATAAACGCTTTTACCTACCTACTAATTTGTAAATTGTAGAAATACCAATTGCGTTTTAGTCGCTTTTTTTTAATTTAGTTCGCCTTTTATTGATCTAAGTTGCTTGAATTACTTTATTTTTATTTTTATTTTTGTTTTGTGTGAATTTCGTATTATAAGTTGTAAGAAACATTTAAATATTTTGCATGCATGACTAACCTACTAATAACTAGCTCGTTTTAAATTTGTTTAAGAAGGTATTATATTATCGCTCAATGCCGATGCAATGTGATCAGTCAGAAGCTGCTAAAATAGTGAATAAAAAAGTGAGCGCTTTTTTTTTAACAGAAAGTAATTATCTAGTTGGACCCAAATAGATATGATTATGTAGCACATATGTATGTAGATCATATTAAATAATTCAGACATATATGAAGACCAGTCGAAAGTACATAGAATATATGAATCAAATATAAACAAGACTTATTGTTACTAAGCAACTATGTCAGGTTGGGTTCCGTTCACTTAAGCTGTTTAGTCTTTGGAACTTTCTCACTTCTTCACTGCAAGGAACCTTATCCTCCCCTATACAAAATCAGCGACTACCCTACTCCCAACATGGATGAAGGAGGTCAAGCTAGGATTTGAAAAAAAGAAAGGGCTTGGCTGCATACATACGGCCAGCGTCAAAAATATGCATACCCACTTGTTTGGTCGATTTTATTTATATATATTTTCTATACCAAATTTTTGTTATTTTTTTTCATACAAACGTAGTTTATTCAACAGGGAAAACCACAATAATCAATTTATTTAATTGCATACAAAACTTGGGGGAAAATGCAAGAAATACCAAGAAATTTTAAATTTTCGATTCGATTTTTAAGAAAAATTTGGAGTATACAGTTTTGTAGCCTATTAAATATGTACATACTTACCTTTGATTTCAGAGAATTTATTTCGCTGAGGGTATTGCGTACCTTCTTTCATATAAAAATTATTGTGTTCATGCGTTATGTGGCGGAAAATAAGCAGCACGCTCGGCAAAAAATTTCAAGGGTAATTTGTCGGAACTTGAAATATGCACTTTACTAAAATTGAATGGGCTATAAAACTGCATACTCAAAATTTTTCCAAGATATCAAATTAAAAAATTGAAAATTTCAATGAAAATGTCTTAGTATTTCTTGCATTTTTTCGAGTTCTATATGAAATTAAAAAAAGAATTGATTCCATTGGTTTTTGCTGCTGGAAGAACTATATTTTTATAAACAAATAAGAAACTTTTGGTATGGAAAATATAAATAAATAAAATCGTCAAAACGTCACGGTATGTATGTACATATGTTATTGAAACTGTTTTTAAATACATGCATACGTCCATCGTGACTCGGTTCTGAACTACTGTGCAACAATATTCTCGCTGGGCAGTAGTAGGTTAGTAGTGGAACTTGCCAGAACACTACACCACGGACAACCACGGCATGCCTCGATGCACATTACATCATAAACAACCTTCGGACTCGGCAGAGAACATATATGTGAATGCCGTAATCGGAATGCAGTGCATTCAATGCAATCACCATCTGTAGCAGAGGAAGAGCTTCAGCTGCCCCAACTGACCTCCTCTGCGAACTGGGCGTTTTCTCTTTGAAACTGTTATACTGGAATCCAAAATTGGTTGATATACATATGTACATATGTTCTGTAACGCGTTAATACGAGCATCTCCATCGGGAAAGATTCAGTAAATTTGGCGATCTTATTCCGCTAAGTGGTGGAGAAAAAACGCAATTTATTGTGCGAAACCTGATTATCTTAATTCGGAGGAGCATTTCCATTGCTAGTCTCTTGCTCATTGAATTCATGCGACTTGCTTTAAATGATATTGAGCGCCTTTGAAAAAAGCAGAATACATTCGTCGTTGTCACTGACTCGGTAGATCGTAGCAATAACAATGCGAGTTGTCATTAATGGAGCGTTTAAAATCCAGTTTTTGCGCCATAGTTTTGAGCGCAGTAGTTAAGACAATAGTCATGCAATGAAGTTTGCCATTGGCGTGAGAATCAGACCGATAGTCGATAAAGAAATAAATGTTGCATAGTTCTAGGCTGAATGCACAAGCCATTTTTGCATTTGTGACTACAGAAAGAAGGCTCAGAAAGGCGTTGTAATATTTACTAAAATACGAATTTGTAAAAATTTACCTGTAATATTATAATAATATATATGTGCTTACAAATATCAAGTAGCTATGTATAAGTTATTAACGCTTACTTAGCACATTGGATTAAAATCATAATAAATACACTTATTTTCATATTAAAAAGGGGCATCTCCTTCCATCTCTCAACCAATCCTACTATCGTATCCTTTTGTGCTTATCCCACTACTGTTTTCTCTTAAGGTTTTTGGTTTTATTTATTGCTGTGTAAATTTTTTATTTCCTTTGAATTTTTTGTTTCTTTCCTAAACATCTATTATTTCATCATTTTGTATACATATTTATTAAGGAGTAGTATGTATTTGATAGTATTGCATTTCAAGTTACTTTATTTTGTTCCACAAAAAAAAAAAAATACTAAACTCATTTTCATTTTACCTACTGACTTGCCACAATACCACAAAAATTTATTTGAAACAGTTTTACTAAAGTCGTATATTTTCTTTTTATTGCGCGCAGGTATTTTATGATCTAATCAGGGATATTTCATCACGAAAGAAGCAACGTCAGTCCGATGTGCGACAGCCGCCAAAAACCAAATCTCACTGCTGCCAACTGCTCTAATAATCATGAGAGAGAAATAAAATCAAAACTGAAAATTACAAAAATGTAACGACGCCGCTGAATACAAGCTATAAATGCCGATAATAACTATGAAAATGACGACGAATGTATAAAAAAAAAACAATACTATATACAAAAAACTACAGTCCTGCAGGAAGAGAAAGAAGAACTTTTGAAAAAAAAAACGAAGATAAAAATGCTATGCGAAATATGCGCGAGCGCATCGCGGACAAGCTGTTGCATAGAAAAGCAAAAACAACTCAATTTATGCATAGATTTGTAAAAAAAGAAACTCTGAAGCACATATATGTACATGCGACTGTATTTGTAGGAGAAAAAGCAATTACATATAAACCCAATTCACGCATTGTATTGTATTGCATTCAAAATAAGAAAAAAATGAAGAAACAACCAAAATATACTACATACTTACATAAACCTTGCAGACTTTATTAATCATATACCTATATATACAGCATATGTATTATTAAAAAAACAAGCGCATACATACATACATACATACATACATGCTTACTTACTTACATCCGTACATACCAATTTCAAATCAATCTACATAAGTTTCAATTTGTATTGTAAATTAAGCTTAAGCCGAACACAATATGTTTTATAGACATAGTACATACATGCCTATGTTTTACGTGTATTGTGTACAGAAATAAACTGCTCTTTTCAATTGTAAAAAAAAAAAACGAAAAAATGTTGTATCATAATAGTTTCGCAAAACGTTTAATTTAATTGCAAGCTTTATGTATTTTATAATTACATACTATGTAAGAGGGGTGATCCAAATGTAATGATAAATGGTTACAAATAAAAATCTAAAAAATGCTAAATTTCCTATTCTCATACTCGTATCCGTGGGATAACCGTCAGTTTAAGGAGACACAGCCTATCGAGTACGAAAGGTCAAAACCAAAAATGCAAAAATATAATAAATGAAAAACGGCATGGTTATCAAGCGCACGTTGAATAAAAAATGCTTAGCAAGGAACTATAAAGCAACTCGGAGAAAAATATTGAAGTGGCTCCAGAGTTTTCATATTGCATAGTTGCATATTGATATAAAGAAATTAGGCTGTACTCTAAACATCGGCACACACACCGTCTTATGTCTCATCAACAAATCTAAAGCGCTTTTAGTGGATATCAAATAATTTTGATATGACAGAGTAAATTGTACCCCCATTTAGGATTTTGGATTAAAAAAAGTCACCACATCTTGGGTGTTGAGAATTTTTACAAGCAAAAGAATTTCCATGCTCAGCATATGCGACATTTACGTGACATCGATTCCGAAAGGGGCGTATCAGTTCTGACTACTAGTAATTTCTTCCTTCTTCTTCGGCTCAAGCAACAGCTAATTGATAAGAAGCGATGACTGCTGACAGCCCAACAAAATTTTAAGAACTGCACAAGGCACAGCCAGTGTCCTAATATGGTTTTTACCGTAAAATCGGAATCTGGCCTTCAAATTATTTAATTGGCTCTAGCTTTTGAGATTATTGGGATTTAAAGCGTTAATAAACGGATTTTTGTTTTTTTTTTTGAACTCAAATAAAAAGATATAATGCACTTTTAGCTACTAAGGTAGAAAAAATTGATTGCTTAAACAAAAAACTTAAAACTAAAAAAAAAAATAACCAAATTTCTTTAAATTTTGTACTAGTTCTCTTTTAGTAGCTCAATTTACCTGTTAAATGTTTTGAAAATGTTTGAATATGTATGTATGTATTGTTTACCTTTTGGTTAGCTACTCCAAAATGCTCGTTCAATAAGACAACTTAAAAAAATCGGTATGGAATATAGGACTAAATTTCTGGTTGAATTCGCCACATTTTTCTATAAAAACTTTTTATAAAACAAAAATAGTTTTTGTGACCAATGTTGGCGGAACCTAATTTTTTATCTTTTGGTCGACATTTAAGTTTTCTTTTTATGCTGTTCAAAAGATTCCACATTGCATCGTTATTCTACTAAAGAATTAAAAAAAAAATTAAGCAATACCATTTTAGACGCTTTTAGTCGCAAATATTGCGAAAACTATCACCAATTTAATAATAGAAATGTCAGATTAATATACGGGAAAATTCTGCAAAACTTTGTTGGCCATTATAATATCTAGTCTTCTCGAAGACATTTCTTTCGGTGCACTTTTATGGCATATCACTACTTTTCAGTCACCACTTCTACCGTATCCTGAAACACAAGCAAGTAAAAATATTGCTCGCTGCTATAATCTACTATTTAAAATTGGCCAAAAGAGTATTAGTAGCCGGTTTTTGTAAGTAAATTTGATTTTTTTTTATATAAAATTATTAGGAGTCGCTCAATGTAGGGTCGAAGTGTTTGTAGTATTTTAGACGCGCTTATAAAATCATATTCGATCAAAATTAGTTTACCTCAAGTGAAATGTGACATCTTGGACTAAATTTTGTAGTTACCGTTAGCAATTTTTGATTGTGTATGAGTTTTAGAGAAATCATTTCATAAGAAACGTAAGTACATATACAGTGAACCACAAAAGCATGCGTACAGAAAACTGTTCATAATGTATGGACATTTTTTTTTTAATTTTAATTTTTTTTCCTAATTTTTTTATAAAAATATGCTACAACAAAAAACATAAAAATTAAATTTCTATACTTTGGGTAAAACTTAGGAAAATTTAATAAATTTGAATAAATTTTATAAAAAATATCAAAAATCAACGTGATTTCGAACTTGAACTTTTTTGACTAAAATTTAATGATTAGAAACTTTAAAATTTCTATGCAAATGTATTAAATTTTCCTGAGTTTTTCAAAGGGTTAAGAAGTTTTATTTTTTTTCATTGTATTAGTTAAAAAAATTTACAACATACATTGTTAAAAACTCTCCTTACGTTGACTTTTGTGGGTGTGGTGTATGTACATATTTTTTATATTTTTCTTGTGCGATATATGTACCATAAAAAATGTTTAGGCCTATTTCTTACTAGAAAAGAAATGTGAGTCATAACTTTGTTTTTTACTTCTTAATTTTTGGTATTCTAAAAATAAGAAGACATTTTTAACGTTAATTTGTGTTTTTATGAAATATTGAAAAACTGTGTAATCTCTTGCACGATTTTTTCATTTCCTTAATTGGTTTCCGAAAAATGACAAAAAGTACTTTTTGAGTATTCAGCCGGGAAAGTGGAAATTTCATTTAGCTCATTTCGATCATATCGGGCATTGAAGAAATTGCTTACGTAGCCATGTCTGACTGCACTCTTATTAATATTGTCATGAAGCTTGCATTACGAATCGGTGTTAAATATGCAGCACCAGAAATATATATATTAATGCAGATCTTTTAAATTAACATTTTGCTATCTCCTTAGGCCATTTTCTGGCTGAAATGCTTTTTAGAGATTATCTTTAACGACGCTCAGCTGACGAATAATCTTGAATTGAGCCTAATTATTAGGTTGAAGATCATGAAACAGATGGAACTCGAGATAATTCACGAAGCAAGCGACGGTCTAATGTACGTAGGTGTGTCTGCGTCTATTTTGAATAAATAAATAAATACATAATTTACTCCTGTATTCGTAGATCGCAGTGTAATACCAGGCGTTCAAAGTAACTCAGCTCCAATTTTTTCTACGACGCGTGCTTGTGGATCTACGGTTAGAGAATTTTTTGGACGCGCTTGGTATTTGTGCTCCGTGTGAGGCGTGTGTGTGAGTATGGTACACACAGTTGCATTCTAGCAGAAATGGTCGAATCATGAGTCAATTATCGATGGCAACGCAACCTCAGCTGGGTTGGCGGTGGGCAACGCCACTGAAATGAAAATTTTATTATAAATAGCCACTATAGTTTAGTACTATAAAGGTGAAAGTTGAGTCTAAAAGAAATACAATTTCTCAACAAAAATTTCTGCGACAACCACAAAAGTTCAGTTACCAATTGCCATCTGTAATACCATTTTAGTCCCGGGAAAGGCAACTGAAGTTGGGCTGCCATCCGTAATCGGTCTATTAGTTTAATGGAAGGCTTTTGAATTGAGAGTAGAAGCGCCTCACTGTAGAAGTGAAACCAAAGGGCCATCCCGTCGCCCTCTCGAACTACTTAGTTGTTATTTCTGCTTTCTTGTTGTAACAGTATAAATTCGCCAACGGTTTTTAAGTGGTGCTGCTGAAGTGAGTTACAATCCTTTGTCAGATATGAGTCTGGGTAGTGTCGGTAACATATACCCGACTGCCGTGTGAACGTGCTCATCCATAATGTTCATTTTAGTCGACAGCACACTTTTCTATTGAAATTTGTAGCAGTTTCTTTATTATTTCTATTTTCTCCATGAAATTTGTGTAAAAATGTTGCTAAATGAATTTGGTTATTAAAACAGGCTTGTTTTAGGTGGTAGAAGTTAGTAGCGTGATGGCAGATTTTTTAATGCAAAATGAGCAGCAGCGTATGTATAATTTGTCCATTTGGCGGCAATCCGATCTTAAACTCTGACTTTCTGGGATTTGATGTTTTAAATAAAAAAGTGAAACCATGAAAATCCGCGACACCATAACTGGCTTAAAATAAATAAAAATATACTTTTGTTATTCAATAATTTTTTTTCGAGTACATAATGTGCAAAAATAAAGTTAAACAGTTAATAAAATTGTATTTATAAGCCACAATAATTACTATTACTATGTTTTTAAGTTGACGATATAATTTACACCAAAACTAAAAATAAAAGAACTTAAAGTAAAAAAAAAAATTTAAATTAAGTAAAGCGTAAAATAATAACCAATTTTTACATAATCATTCAAAGAAGTATTTTGCATCGATTTTTTTTAAATATTCAAAATGTTTTTAATTGTAAATTTTTTATAAAAAATAGCTCATTCTACAACAAAAAGCATATAAATAAAATTTTCAAACTTTATCGTAAATGGAGCAAATTTTCATTAAAATTAATTTTTTTTTTTTAATTTGAGTATGCAGTTTTATAGCTCATTCATTTTAGTAAACAAAGCGCAAATTTAAGAGTCTAAAATATTTTTTTAATTGATTTTTGATGATTTTTTAAATTGGAGTATAAAAAAGTGCCAATTTTAAGTTGTTAAAAAATTCTGTTGATTTTTGATACTTTCTTTTGCAGATGGTGCTGATCATTTCCTTCCTTATAACAAATTTTGTAGCAACTTCAAACTTGCACTGTACATAGTATACTAAAATTTAATGCATTAAAAAACTGTATACTCGAATTGTTTGTAAAAATTCTGAAACAAAATTTTGAAATTTTAATGCAATTTTTCTGAATTTTTGCCAGTATTTGAAATTTGGTTTTACATGGTTTTTGTTGTATAATGAGCTATATTTTATTAAAAAATTAACAAGAAAAAGGTAAATTTGAAAACAAAATTTTAATACTGTAAAAAAAATGATGTAAAATTCTTCTGTGTCTGATTGTGTGTATATAGTAATGCTTAAGTGCATCGCTTTAACTTGTTCTTGTAATCATACATATGTACATACAGTTGCAAGTAAAATAATAGCAGTAAAATTCAGAACGATGCTGCTGGTAACTTTTGTTTATTTATTTATTGTTAATAATTTTCATTTAAAATATGGGTCGACCTGTATCAGAAACCGCATAAATACTAGTTTCAAAGCTTGCACAAAGTTCACAAAAATTAATTAAACGTAAAAAAATTGTCAT